ATTTTCATCCGTCCTCATCTGGTGAAATCGACAAACGAATCTCTTCTTCGTGTACTTTCATTCGAAATGAAGGTCCCCCTAACAAAGAATTAATAGACAGTGCTTTTTAATAAAAGTATTGTTAATAAAAAGTGAAATATATATCTTGTTGTGATTATTATACAACATTGTTATGGGATTTTCATTTCGTATGAAAGGGAATGAAGAAGAGATTCGTTGATCGATCTCACCAGATGAGGATGGATGAAACTCGTTGTACTGTAGTTGTATGGTTTTTATACGATATTTATGTTGAAGCAGTCCACTAGACTTCCTTCCTCGTTTCGGATAAAAACTTACTGAGCTTTCTTCCAGCATATGATGGACATCATCAGGGCTAGGTGTCATTCTTGTAAAAGTCTCACGTTAACACTAAAGCAAGAACACTATCCAGCTCTTTCTTACTTCTTATATAGACTCAATTGAGCCAAAAAACTAAAAATAAAAAACCCAGATAGATCGATATAGAGTGATTTGATTAATTTTCTTTCATACTGGTTCTTTTATTTTTGCTCGATTGCGTATTAGCGTCTATATGCAATACGGTTCCTAAATCAGACTTGCCAAAGATTAAATCTCCTGTTCTGATCCTCAGGACCTAATAGACCAAGAGATAATCTTTGACCGAGACTGCCTAGGTCTGTAAATAAGTATGGTCGAGATATTGAAATATGAGCTTGTAAGCATGATAATCAAGTTACGAAACCACTTGCCAAGAGTCATTAACATTTAACCCTTCAAGAAAAGGCAAGACTGGGGTTACCACCTGAGATTTAACCTTTGAAAGTATGATTTAGGAACCTTATTGCATATAGACGCTAAGACGCACAAATATACATACTCATACAATCGAGCAAAAATAACAGAACCAGTATGAAAAAAATTAACCAAACTACCCTACATCGATATATCTAGATTTTTAATTTTCTTTTGGCTTAATTGAATTTATATAGGAAGTAAGATAGAGCCGGATAGTGTTGTTGGCCTATTGTTAACGTGAGACTCTTACAAA